TACTATGTAATTACTTATATAAATTACTCAATAAAGATACGAGCAAGGCCTCACCTTAATATTTAAAAAAAAAAAAATTTTGTAAAATTAAAAAAAAAAGAAAGAATGTTTAGATAAGTAATAAAAGAGTAATTAAAGAATTTAAAAGAATAAAAAGTATGATAAATTGTATTTGTTAGAAAATTTATTAATGCATATCTCCTTAGAAGAGTAGAATGATTTAGTATTTGAAAGAGGATAAAACTTCTATAACAATATTCACTATATGCCTGGCTCTCATAGTTGTGCAAGAATCTAGAGTCTGCTCTGTGCATTGAGTTTGACTATCATTACTTGATTCTTCCATATATACTATTATTATTTAATTTTTTTAAGTAATAATTTATATATAGTAAACTTATTTTTTTATTAATATAATCTATTTTCACTTTTTAAATAAGTTTGTTTAATATAAAATTTTATGTATAATTGCAGTTTTAAAATTAGCAAAATTTATTTTCAAAAAAAAAACTTTATTAGTAAAATCTAAAATTTTTACAAAATTTTAAAATATTGTTTTAAGTTATCTTATTCTACTATTTTAATATACTTAATTCTAAAATTTGAAGATAAATTAATTTGTAAGTTGAAAAGAATGTTGAGCTTAAAATTTATAGTAAATTTATATATTTTTTTACAATTTTTATTATAAAAAAAACTCATATATTACTATATATAATATATTTTTTAACTACTATGATTACCCATGATAATTAACCAATCAAATTACAGAATTTTTAAAATGTTTATATCATTTTAATACTAGAAAACAAAGAAAACTTCACTTAAAAAAGCTTACAAACCAATAATTACATACAAAAATTTATCGCATAAGGTTAAAAAACAGATAGATACATGTAAAGTTGGATATAATATTTATTATTAAATATCCAACTTATTAAAGAGTTAATACAGCACATAAATAAATTATTAGCAAACTATCTTTGTTCTTTATTTATTAACTTTTAAAAAAATCAAAGTAATTCGATTTTATTTTATTTCATGACCTTTAGCCCATATAATTAATAAAACAATAATACTCATATACTGTATATATTATCAACCTACTACTTAATCCGAAGTTATGATGTTTTAACTCTATAATATTCAGAATACATAAAAATAAGAGCATTAGTATAAGCTTTTTATTATAATAGCATGTTAAACGGTATAATAAAGTTCTTTAGGTTTAAATCTTACGCGTAACGTCTCAATCTTCTTTTTTTTTTGTTGGCTGTTTTCAGCATTTAGAGCTTACATACAGTTAATATGACTAATACTACAATAAATAGTAAAAATTTTCGCTTCTAAGTGAAGTTACTGATTATTTTTGACTATTTTTGCACAACGAATATAGAAGTTCTTTCGAAGTTAGAAATGGCTTTTACAGTGATTTTTTGTTAGTGAAACGTTACAGACGAATGTCTGTTTATGAGATGTCTATTTTCTAAACCCGATAAGCCTAATTAACCTTTCCATCCAAAATATCTTTCTTAGACCCTATCGATTATTTTCGCGGCATCTGAAGTCACGTGATACGTGCTTCGTCGGCTCGCAGTAAGCAATTTCGATGTAATAATTATTTATACAAATCAGTTTTTTGTTTTACATTTATCATAAATCTATTTGGACTCTGAGACCTTTTGCAGTATTACTCAACTCATTTTATGCATGTATTTACGTAAATTCTACAATTCGATATTATGATAATATTCAAGTCTACCAGGATTATGTTTCACGTCACTGTAATTTACTTTTTACAGCGTGTATAAGTCATTTTTCCTGAATTAATAATAAGTTCTCTTTTCTTAAAAAATGATATACTAAAGAAATTTTAAAAAAAAATGGTTAAAAGAAAAATTCTTGAAAAAATGAAAAATCGAATATTTTGGATTTGAAGAAATACGAAAAAACTATGGATCGAATTACAAGATCTGCGTTATGAACAACCAGTAAATTCGAGTTGTTATGCAGGTGTACTATTCCTTCGGACACAAATAATTTAACTGCAAAGAAAACCAAATGTCTGAATTTATCGCCTTACCGGATTTAGCTCTCTTAAAGAAGTTTTCGGGACCTAAATCCAATAAGGTAATAAATTCAAACTCAGTCTGGTTTTTGGCGTCATTATGATTATGTAAGAGCGCTGACATTTATTACATAATATCTGTTTACTATAAAGATTGATATTATGAATGAATTATGTATGGAACGGGACATCTATACTCTGAATTGAATCACGAGACAAGTCAAACTTTCCAGTAGCTTTGTAGTGCATATAAGGAACAAAGCTATTAAATCCACCTGCGTAAGTTGAAATTCAAACTTTAGTCATGTTGATTATTGTGTATACTTTACGTATGTACGTATTTACGCACCTAAATATCGACGCCTAATTGAAACGTCATACGTTGCTAACTAATTAAGCATATGATCTTTGTTCATTGAACGGTAATAAATTGAATAGTGTCTTAGTATCATAAACACTAAGCCACTAAATAGCATTTCCTTTTGGCGGACGTACCTATAATTACCGTGCCAGGCACCCTAATTTCTTGCTTCAACTTTAATAGCAGCACGTTAATTTTACCGCGTAAGGCAATCAAATAATCAATGCAATTCTTTACTGTGTAAGGAAAAAGAAAAATGACGACATCGACGATCCATAACGATAATATTAAGGATTTCCTTAGGTGTTTATCTGTCCTTGTAGATTTTCTGAGGGTCCGAAAATGTTTGATACTTTAATTGTTCAAGAAATAACCTGTTAATTCTATTTTTGTGATGATTCTCTTTTTTTTTTTTTTTTTTTTTTTTCCTTTACGAGTTTTATTATTAGAATGTCTCTTTGACGTGTATTTTAATATTTTTAAAATGGTGTCCATCACTCTCGGTATGTAATTCAGTATAGATATCCTTGATTTGTAAGCGTAAGTTCAGATTACCCAATACTTGTTATTATGAGGGATAAACTTCGATTCCGATAATCTACGGAGGATGATGAATATTAATAACTTTAAAAATTTATTTGCTTTAATAAATATTAAATATTATAATATTATAATATTATTATTTTATTATTATTGATAGCACATTCGTTAATACTTCCGCTGGTTCCAATTGTATAATGTAATTCTTATCCAGTTCAAGAGACAGCAAATTCTTTTTTGGGAAGTTGTTTGTAATTCACGGGCTTTCAAAATGAAGTAGAAAACAACCTTGGCTATCTTGTGGCCAAGTGTCACTGGTAACTCATGATCGTGGTAAAATCTCAAAGACGTTCTAAACTTATTTTATATTTTTGTCACTCTTGTGCTTACTACATCTTCGAAATAGCTATAATGTTTATTTGGATGACCAAACTTAAACTTATTCGTTTTTTTTTTTTTGGGATTTTGGCTTTTTCCAATTCTCCAAATCACGTAATGTTTAACATTCGTATTTCGGCGATCGTTAATCTGAAATTGTTCAACAAACTTTCTATTTTTTTTTCAGACTATGCCGATCTTGTTTCATATAAAATGAATGCTTAAAACGGCCTTTTCATGCCCATTTGCGTCATTTTTTATGATTTGCCTTCAATTTTACGCAGAAAGCTCTTCGAGTGTTCGTTAATACATTTTATTATTGTTGCCTGAACGTCTTTTGTGAATTAGAAATTGGGATCGCTTGATCCGAAGTGCCCATCAGGTTAATTATCGCAATGGAGGATTTGCACAACGGACCCTTACGACGTGAGGAAAAAAAAAAAAAAAACAATATAAAAAGACAAATTCAAAGTCTTCATGAACTTATATTTACATTATCGCTTGGTTCTTTTTTCATTCTCTTAATTAGTAATCAATCCTTGCGTTTTTCGTGATGCCTCGCGTTAAAAAAGATTCCATCGACCCATCGTCCTTAAAAAGACGTAAACATGATTCGTGTCTTGATCGTATTCCTGACTTAAAGACAAAACTTAAGGAATCGATCAAAAAACATTTGGAATCTATGTCACAACAAGGAGTCGTATTTCCCACCAATCTTCCTCTTGAAATTCTTTTGGCCCCTTCAAAGAGAACGATGAAAAATTTAAAGGGAAAAACCGGTGAAAAGAAACGTGCGCAAAACGGTTTCATATTGTATCGAAAAGATAATCATTTTATTATTCAAAAAGATTATCCTCTCGCATCCCAACCGGAAATCTCAAAAATCGTTAAGAAAAGGTGGGAAACAGAATCTGCAGAAAAAAAAAATTATTACACGATTCTTTCAAGCGTAGATTTTTTGGTACATAACGAATTATTTGGAGCTGGCAACAGCGATTACAATATAGAGAGTGCAGATCATGGATCGTCATCCGACAAAGAGTTCGTGGATGATCAAGATGATGAACCTTGGAAGAGAGCTGTCACCATGCCACAAATGGTATTGCTTCCAATTGCAGAAAGTCAAGAATGTTTTGAGACCACCGAAAACTCTCAAAGAATTTCATCATCATTACAACCTGCTTTTTATTTACAAAATATAGTTACAGCAAAGAGTTCTCGAGCAGAACGACATTCGTCACCAAGACCTGTTTCCAAAGATTCCGATCACATGAATGATTTTTATCGATGTGGATCATGGAATGTAGCCTTAGATAACGAGGCAATACCTGTGAATCCGTCACATACTTTAAGTGACTCTTTATCGCAGTCAAATAATCATCCAGTTAACGCACCAGAATTATATGCACAAACAATTGGGGCTAACTTTAATCAGCGGACAGAATATAACCTTAACTTGGTGAACTACGCCGCTCGGATGACTAACGATTTCTGCTACGCCTACAATAATACGTCAGCCAACATTTATTACCCGCATTTATTGTCACAAACTCCCGTTATTCTTTCGAATGATTCATCGGTCATGGTTATCTCTCCATTACCATATGATAATTGTAACATAATTACACCTTATTAAGATGACAATAACGCATTGAATGGAAATAAGAAATTCCAATATAAAATTATGTAAACCTGTTAAGATAAGGATTAGGTTAATCCGTAAGAATAAGGATTAGGTTTAAGGAGATAACCTTAAATAAGCCCATTTTCAAACTTCATTCTAATCACATGTTTTAAGATCTTTTTAATATCTCAACTTAGTTTTATTCCATGAATTAATTCCAACATTTAATTATTATTATTAGCAATCTTTTATGTTTAAAGAAATAATTCTATGTTGTCGATACTCGCATTTAATGCAATACTAAATTAAGCTTTTGATTTTCGGTTGTGTTTATCCATTTCGATATGCCCTTTTTTGTATAAATATCCTATTTTATGTGACAAAAAAGGTATAAATTCCGGATCTCAGTTTCATTGACGCGTCTTATCGGATCTACAATGACAACTTCCACTGACGTGAAATAAATTGTCCGAGTAAATTATCCGATTGTTTTAAAGTTCCGATGTCTTTTATATTAAAAATTCATAAAGTCACAGGACACTTTACTATGTGAATGTTTTCTTCATAATAAAGTTTTTTTTTCATTGAGTGTATGTATATACACTATATATGTACATTTCTGAGTTATATATAACTAGGCACTTTAGTAGATTAAGTCTATAAATAAATCCATAAATTTTTTACCGACCAAAGTCGGTGTGAGCAACTTCTCCGGCATTCCTGTAAGACCTTGTATTGTGTAATAATAGTGATCACTTGGAATTGGATGAGTCACATTTACTTATTTTACAATTATACTTAATAAATCAAATACCGTTATATTAGCAAATCCTGTGAGGCCAAAAATGGGTTTCAATTAGATTCAAAAGGCCAGTAATACTTAAAAAAGAGATTGCAATCTTATCGGTTGCAAATCCATCTTTAATTGTACATTTAGACGTTACTTTCAAATTTCCGTCAATTAAACTGATGTACATCGTTTTAAAATTGTAAAATGAAGTATTAGTACGTCGTATTCTAATCGGTATGATTTTACCGGTCGATAATAAAATTTTCAGTACTACATGAATATTATATATCGATATTTATTATATCGATATTTATTTAATTATTGCATTTACGTTAACCTTTACCATCGCTATGTTATTAAAACCAAATCTAATAAAGCAATTTATTAGTATAAGTTTTTAAAATTATTTCGGTGCTGCTCACTTCGACAATCATTTCACTTAGCCGACATCACATAGGGTTAGGGTTAGCGTTTTATTAGTTGCAGGTATAATATTTTTAGCAAATTGTCACTTGGCGTGATGTCGGCTAAGTGAGCTGTTGGTAAAATGATTGTCGATGATCCGATGATTTTCGCATGTACCTCGGCGAACATAGCCACACTGGAAGGTACTAAAGCAAACAGGAGGAACCGTCGATGTTACACGACTGATCTTTCACCCGGTGTGCAACATAAAAAAATTAATTTATAATACCAGATCATTCCGCTAGTACATGTTATGATTATAATTCCACACCATTTTTATTATAATAAAATGGTGTGGGATTATAATCATAACATGTACTAGCGGAATGATCTAAATTAATTTTTTTATATGTTGCACACAGGGTGAAGGATCAGTCGTGTAACATCGACGGTTCCTCCTGTTACAAAAACATTGTTTTTACGACAAGAACTTTATTTAATACATGCAACCATTACCGTTACTTTTTGTATTTTGACTAATGATGCAGTAGAAACTTTTACCGCTTAAGCCTAACATCATTGGGAAGATTCTATTGCAGTGTTGTCACTGGAAGACCATTGGAAGGCCACTGGAAGAAAATTAATAGTGTTACTGGAACTTGGCACTTTTGATTTAATTTCCAGTGGGCCTTCCAGTGTCTTCCAGTGACAACACTGTTCTATTGCATCACTAATCTTGATAAGACGTTTCGTTCATAATGATGCAAACGGCTGGCTCGGCTCGGCTCACGGTTAACAATACAACTTTTTTCATAAATTCTGTAACAACTGAAAAAATTGCCGATGACCGAATCGATAAGTTACCGAGTCGGAATCAATAAGTAACCGACTTCGGCCAAACTCAGGAACTTATCAATTCGGTTATCAGCATTTTATCAGTTCCAGAATTTATGAAAACAGCTGTAATCAAACCGAGCCGATCCTTCAGTTCGAAAACTAGAGCCGAGCCATTTATGAGCCAGCCAACCTTTAAACTGACAACTTCAAGCTGAGAGCCGTTACTCTAAAGATAAAGTATCATACATTTTTTTAAAAAAAAATTTATTCCAGATTTAATTTTCCCGCTATTTTTAAAATAAAAACATTAGGATTTTTACGGCTGTTTTCATATGTCCCAGCAACTAAAAATATTGCTGATACGAAATCAGTAACTTATTCTGAGTCATAAACTTTCGATTTGGTCATCAGCAACTATGATAATAACCGTAAAAACGCATGCTTTATTGAGCAATTAAATAAAACAATTACGGAAGGTAACCTAAGGCTTAGTGTTGTAGTGAATTATGATGTAGGTAAGTTGATTATTGGCTAACGGTCACGTAATATACTTATTGGCTCATGGTTCTATGTTTGGCTCCAAGGTCTTGAGCCGAGCCGTTTTTAGAGTTGATGCTTTATTAGTAGACCTGGAGCCGAGCCGATGATTGGCTCGGCTTAGCCGTTTGCACTCGTTCATGATATTTTGAAGAGATCTTATTGATCGCGTTATGTTTTGTTGGGTAATTGAATGTTCATTTCTTCGATTATACTAACTAATTTAAAGGTAATAGATACCCAATATTTAAAGCTTAAGCTTTCAAGTTTATTGGCGGAAAAATACGAAAATTTGATGAAATATTCGAAGCCAATTGTAATAATATATATACTATATATATATATATATTTAAAATGCTTTATTAAAATTTGATATACGTACGTACGTACATTACATTTTAATCGGTATAAATTTTAAATTCACGTACGTACGTACGACAATTTTTAATAGAGGTCATTTGAAAGTGATGTTTAACATATTAAATTTGTTTTAAATCTTAAATATACAGTCTGACCTCGTTATAGTCACTCTCAATATAGTCATAACCTTGTTATAATCACACTATTTTTTTGGTCTAGCTATTATAAAACATATAAAATTTGATATTCATTTAGTTACAACCTTTTATAATCATCAAAATTTTGTTTTCCAACCTAGTGATTATATCGAGGTCAGACTGTATATTATATTTTTTAGTATGTATTCAACAATTCTTTTTAAAATTGCAAGCTTTAACTACAACTAGAGAGCTAAAAATCTTAATTTAAAGTTGATTAATTTTTTATTATATTTTTTAAACTTTTACTAATATGCATCTATAATGTTTTATATTTATATTATTACAAAAACTAGACAATGAATTAGTATAAGATATTTTAAATAAAAATATTTTACATTCTTGAACTCTTCTCAAACCCAACTCTAATGTTAATTCCAACTCTTATATAAAAAGTTTGTAATAAAAATTTTATATACAAATTTTAAAAAAATATAAAAATATAATAAAACATATAATAGTTGTAAAAATATATTATTATTAAAATTTTTGCTAAAAAAATAACTTTTAAAAAAAGAATGTGGTAACTTAGTGAAGTGGTAGAGTTGTTGTACCTTCAGATAGCAGGTCTAGAGTTTGAATTTCATAGATGATGTTTTTGAAAAATAGCTCTGTAATATAGTTAACAGCTATTTGATTATTAGTAGAATTTAGAAATCTGTAATCTCAGTCACACCATCTAGAATAGGAGCTTTGGTGCAATAAATCTAAGGTATTAGAATAACTAAAAATTTGTTTTGCAAGTTCTGAATTAGAAGGTAGCACAATCTTCAACAGTACTACAGAAGAACTGAATTTGAAACTAGAGACTAAAATCAGAAAACTAAGCAATCAGGTTCTTAAGTAGAGTGATATACTAGCTAAACTACTGGGTCACCAAACTAGAGAAAAAAGACAAGTGCTCTAGAAGCATATATCAAGGGAAGGATAACTATATAAATACCTAAAATTTAGATAAATAAACTTTTTTGGATTGCTAGCTAGAAGTAAGAGAAAGACCGATAAAGAATCTAGAGAAGAAAGAAAGTTTGAATATGAGTACTAGGTTATACAAACCTAAATATAAGAGCAAAAAATAAGTAACTACTAATATAGGAAGGTTGTAGTTTGAAATATAGACTAGGTTATAGCAATATTCTAAAAGATAGCTTAAAATACAAACTTGATAGTGACAATATAACATATACTAGTTAAAATGAAGTTACTGAATATGCAAGTAAATATATATATAAAACATATACAATTCTGTTAGGTTTATCTTAAGAATAAGTAGTTCTAAATAGGATGTGGAATCTATAGATAGTGCAAAAGCTAGTTTTTTTTTTTTTTTTTTTATTAATATAATGTTATAGTAAAAACTTTATTACAAAAAATCTAAATTAATCTAAAGACTAATAGTCTTCTCATTTT